ATTATCGAGGCCAGGTTCGGCAACTCCGAATGGCCCGAACACAGATGGTCCGAGCAGTGGCCCGAGTCCAGCCACGAAGCATGGCACGGTCAATTGGGACATTGTCCATTTTTAAGTATATTTTCCAACGTTTGAAATTAAAACACCATTGCTCATAAATGACTCATGTTCATGTGCTGACCAGTGCAGCTGCTTGAAATTGCAATCACCAACCAGATTCAAAGACCTCAGATGAGAAAGGGTTACAATGGTTACAGAAGGAAACTTTCTCTTGGCCTACGTCCCAGAAGTTTGTGGACTAGCAGAGGGAGCAAACGTGTTGCTTGTGAAGCAACACTTAGCAGTTTAAACCCAAACTGCAGAAACAAGTATAGCCCTCTTCTCATTCAGCCATGTACTGTTTTTTTTCTTTTCTTTAGGCCTACTCCTGTATTTTCCTGTGAAGAGCATAGCCTACTTCACTGATGCATGGGTTTGGAGCACCCAGAGCTACAGCTGCAGCAAATTGTTGTTTTGCAAGATGGAAACCCAGGACGGGCAATGAAGATCCGACATTGAGGGCACTGAGTGGAGCAGCTGCTGCTGCAGCGGCATCGGCAGCAGCAGCAGCAAGTGCTGCTGCAGGCACTGCTGCCATCCTGGAGCGCATGCAGCAGTTGCAACGAGGGGAAGTTCCGGGAGAGTGGAATATGCAGAATGTGCTGCAATCCACCAAGAATGCTGCAGCAGCTGCGATGGAAGCAGCCCATCAACTGGGCAGCTGCTTTCAAGAGGCCAGGCAGTTCATAGCACAGTCGCCTTGGTAATCCTCTTAATCCAGGCAGCATCCTGCAAGTTAGCATGATGTGGGCAACTGCCCCCACTGTTCCTGTATCGTTTGCAGCTAAAGCAAACAAATAGCAGGTTTCTGGTCCGTCAGTAAGCCAAAGACACAACAAAGCAGTTTTGCCTGCAGGCCAACGGCTCGGCCCGAAGGCCCGATTTGTCGGCCATTCCAACATCTTGGCAAAGGCAACAAAGGCGCCGTCTGAGCCAGAGCAGCACGCCCAAGTCGACAACATCCGGCCCCAATTCGGACGAGCTGTCGGTGGAAAAGCTTCTTCTTGATCAGTGCCACAAGCCAAAAGTCACCTTGTATCACATGCGGGAGAGGGTGCCTGCCATGGAGAAAGCTGGCAAGGAAGAGGACCTGGCCCGATTCAAGAATCACTTGGCGGCCCTTCATGCGGCAGAGGCTCTTCGGCCTTCATCCGTCGGCAAACTCGAGGATGACCACATTGGCCAGCATCTTCTCACACTTCAACCCTTCTGGCCAGGCCCGCTGCCATTGGTTACTTGCAAGGGACTGGTGCAAAGAAGGTGTGAGAGATTGACGGCAGGCACGAATAAGAACATTGCTCGTTGCTTTGAGGTTCTGTGGCCCAAGTTGTCCGAAAACCTCTTCAATGCAGAAGAGGCCCGAGTGGCAACCCTGGCAATGAGTCAGGAGGACAAGGTCACATTTGCACACGACATTGTTGTGTCTTACTGTCTGCCGGAGATGATGCAAAACGATGATGTGGCTGGCCTGCAAGAGCTAAGCGAGACAATGCTGCAGAAGTCTGCGGATGAGCCCGAGTTGATGAAAATTGAGAAGGCAAAGCTCATGGTGCAAACGGTCCGAGCAGTGGGTGCTTTGGTGCAGAGCCTGCCGGTGAGAGATGATCAGCTGGAGGCATGGACCAAACGGAAGCACAATCCAGTGCTGTCCATTGCAGCCACCTCCAAGGTGGCGAAGCTCCTTCAGAGCGCCGCCTGGAGGAAAAGGTTGGACCGATTCTGGTTGGGCGCGAGTACCCAGGTGCTGCATGAGCCCGTGGTCCGAGACTGCTTGGAAGCTTTGAAGGGCGGTGATGAAGAGAAGCTGGATGCAGCCTGGGCCGACTTACAAGCCAATTGGGGGGCCTGGTCTCGAGAGTTGAACACTGAGACTCTGGCTTTTTTGGCTGAGGCAGTCCAAAAGCATTTGGCAATCGATTTGCAGAAGCTTCATTCAAGGCTGCTGCATGCAGAAGAGTCTGACCCGGAAGACACTGCAGATGCAAGGGCAGCAGAGCTGGAGTCTTGACTGGTGAATGATGTTTGCAGGCAGTGTCCAAATCATGAAATCCTTATACAGATGACATATAACCAGCTGTCGTTCTAACCTGTCATAAAGAGGTTAAATGAATTTAAATGGTAACCCTTGCAGCTATGCGGGTAAACTGCAGATGTGCAAATGCAAATACCAGTTACAAATGAAGTACTAGGGTCGTGCACAGTGCTTCTTCTCAATCCATGAACAAGGACCCAACGTTTGCTTGAAGAGAAAATTTGTGGGTACCACTGAGGTCCGAGTCTTCAACCTTCGAGAGGGCTGGGCCAGGAAAGTCGCGATCCTGGGTCAGAGCTTTTCTCTAGAAAGAGAGAACTTCCAGTCTACCATCGACAAGCTCAATGTGCGACTGAGAAGTCGCAAAGCACTGGCTTGGCTCGATGCTGCACTGGACCCAGGAAAAGAACTTTCGCCGGAAGATGTGGAGTCTGCTACAGCGGACATTAGCGCAACTTTCCTCGCAAATTGTTCTGTTGCAGTTGGTCTAATTTCACTTAGCCCATTTGTAGGACCTGGGACAGGACACAGGACTTAGACTCTCATGTCCCAGGTCTGGAAGCGGCCTTGACAGGGCAAGTCTTTATTCCTATTCTATGGAGATTGAAGTTCATAGCTTTGTCAACTTGATGTCTCATGTTGCAGAGAGCAATTCTGCCTGGGTCATGCCAGGCTGCTTGGACTCCCCGGCCGGTGTTCACATCCCTTCACTCCCATAATAAGCCGACAGCAACTTCCAGGACCCAAATTGCATAGCAAAAGCCATGGACATTCTCATAGAACTTGGAACCCTTAGAGTGCCTCAGAATCCTGAGGATGCAACAATTGACTTGGTTCATCTGCATCAGTTGAAGTGGATACATGGCTGTCGATCTATGCAGACCTACTTCCTATGTGTTCGGGCATACTGCCATCATGGAATGACTCTAGCTAGCGACCTTGGTCCCATTGCACAATAGGTTCAACAGTCAGTCACCAGCACTAGCCACTAGCCAGCCACTAACTACTAGTCAGCCACAACCCAGTTATCACATGTCGCAGTGTTTTAAAATGTGCGTAACGTTTAACGGGACGAGTTTGCATTATCCCGCCAACACAGGACAGTAGGACAGCTCAAGGTTTTTGGGACATCAAAGGCCTCGTCGTAGAGTGTGCATATTGCATTGGAACATCTCAGGCACTTTGCCACGTGGGTATTGCCGGCAAAAGCACCGAGGCCCGAGCCTGGTTGGACCGACTGGTCAATGATCCGGCTCTGGGAATTGCAACGTGCGAGCTGGCAATTGCGGTGGTGAAAGCTATGATGATTCCACAGGATTCAGAGCAGCTGCCGAGGCTTTCAAAGACTCTGACAGGGTTGAAGATTGAACACCATGTGTCGTCCGGGCCCGGTCATGACATCGAAAGCCTCAGTGCCCTGATCAAGTCTTGGGATGACTTGCAAGTGGCATCATATAAAGATCTCGAGGAGGCAGTTGCCCAGGCCCGAGTTTGTCTGCAGACGAGCAGCCATGATGCATTCCGCGTGCAGCTGCAAAGTTCATTCCAGGCCTTCTCGGACCTGAAGCTTCATGCAGGAGGGACCGAGAGCGGCGGAAACTGGAAGGCTGATTTGCCCAGCGGCCCGAGCGGCCCGATGTGGGATGCGCTGTGCACACTTGCAAGGCAGACAGTGCTCAGGGACCGACTCCAACCATTCCACAAGGTCTTGGACAAGCACTTTGCTTCAGTCCAGAAGTCCTTCGCCGAGCTGCAGGAGGCACTGTCGTGGCCAGATCTGCCGGCTGAGGCCCAGGAGGCCCGAGATCTTCTTGCTCAGGGGCCTGAGGTTTTCCAGCTCGCACGGATCACCGGGACCGAGGTCTATTTCATGGAGACCATTCTCTTGGTCCGATCCGACAGGCAGAGGGCCCGATTGAAGAAGCGGCTCGACTCGCTGAAGGAGTTTGATGTGCCTGTGAAGCAGGTGCATCCTTTGATTTCGCAGAAGGTCAATGAAATCCTAGGCGAGGAGTAAGGACTTGAGGCCGACCAGGAGGGCCGACTTCACAGGGCCCGACTGAAGAAACGGAGCGGCACTGTTCTGTTAATGATGGACTTGCGGCCGACCAGGGCCGACCATCTTCACAGGGCCCGACTCAAGAAACGGAGCGGCACTGTTTTGATACTGTTAATGATTAATGTGCCTTGAAAGCAGGTGCATAAGTTCATGCTGGGGGAAGCAATGCTGGGGGAAGCAGAAAAAAAGAGCATCTGCATGAGTTTCAGTAGGTGGTGGCAGAATTTGGGCACAGAAAGTGCAGTGTCTCTCTCTTTCTCTCTCTTTGTCTCTCTCTTCTCCTCTCAAGTTTTTGATCTGCCAGGTGATCGCAAAGCTTCGATGATGCACGCATTTGTCGGCGAAAACAAGGGCCGTGTGTCATGCAGGGATCATGCCGGGGACATGGTTTAGGCTGCCGGTGTCAAGCCGTAGGGTAGGATGTTTATGGGCATGATCATGCCCATGATCATGCCTCATGTAGCCTGTAATAGGTTAGGCAGGAATGTGTCAAGCCTTATTCTAATTATTAAGGCCCTATATTACCCTTCTGGGAGTCTTTAAGTATAATTATGTGTGGCCTTACGTAGAACCATTTTTTTAAGTCATCTATAGACATGTAAGTCACTAATTCCCGAAAACTATACTCCCCCCCAAAACAAAATGACCCCTCAACCCTAAGACCCAAAGCCCTAAACCCTCAAAACCCGAGATCCTACACCCATACCTTAAGCTACCATAACAGACTTGTCTGTAGGTTCCTATGAAAACTCCACTGGTTTTTTGTAGGTTTTGGTAGGTTAATGAAAACCTTACACCCTCAACCTTTAGGTGCACACGACGCCTACGAAGAGTGCCGCGTGAGAGGGGCCGGTGGCCCCAGTCGATGAAAGACTTCAAGCTGTAGAGTTCAGCGTTTGATGTTTAGGGTTTACGGGGGTTTGGGGTTTACGGGTTTAGGGTTGTAGGGTGTTGTGTACGGGCATTGAGGTACCATAAAGGCTTTAGGGGTTTAGGGTTGAGTGGGTTCAGGGTTTGCAATGCAAGGTTTCAAGCAATAGAACGTGCACTCGGGACTTTCTTATGCTTGTCAACATCACGCCTATGCCAGTAATCCAACCCTAAAAACAAGGAGTTCTGATACAAACACTCAGTAGTTCTCTCAATATAGGGCCTCTTCTTGGGTCCCCAAAATAGTACGGCACTCTTATAAGCAGTTAGAGAACTGACTACCCATGTGGGCGGCCAGAAAGCAACCTCCTGAAGCTCGGAAGGGCCCATGCACCCTTGTAGTACACACTTCAATCCTGAATTTTGAAGTACCTCTACAGTCATCCTTTCAAGGCCGAAGTATATACTACATGGGAACATGGATTTGATGAGATTCCCGTACTTTATCTGAAGAGCCCCTACAGAAACAGATGAAACTCTCAAACATAGCCCTCGAAACGGTGCTTGGAGTTAAACCCTAAACCCTAAACCCCTGAACCTCACACCCTAAACCCCTAAACCCTCAACCCCTAAACCCCTAACCCCTAAACCCCTAAACCCTAAACCCCTGAACCTCACACCCTAAACCCCTAAACCCTCAACCCCTAAACCCCTAACCCCTAAACCCCTAAACCCTAAAGCCCTACACCCCTAAACCCCTAAACCCTAAACCCCTGAACCTCACACCCTAAACCCCTAACCCCTAAACCCCTAAACCCTAAAGCCCTACACCCCTAAACCCCTAAATCCTAAACCCCTGAACCTCACACCCTAAACCCCTAAACCCTCAACCCCTAAACCCCTAACCCCTAAACCCCTAAACCCTAAAGCCCTACACCCCTAAACCCCTAAACCCTAAACCCCTAAACCCCTAACCCTAGAGCCGACCCTAGAGTCTCCAAACCCTGAGGACTTGATGAAGCTCGGCAAGAGTGCCGGCTTGGAATCTGGCGTTGATATAGGCCTGGTTCAGGGTTTGATGGTTACATAGGGCTTAAGGCTGTTAGGGATGATAGGGTATAGCGTCCGGAGTTTAGGGGTTTGGCGCTGAGGTTTCAGGGCTCAGGTTTAAGGTTTTCTCTTCGTGGACCACTACCGCTAAGGTCGCCATTTCTGCTACATCTCGCGGTGGTGGTGGTGGTGGTGGTGGTGGTGGTGGTGGTGGTGGTGGTGGTGGTGGTGGTGGTGGTGGTGGTGGTGGTGGTGCTGCTGCTGCTGCTGCTGCTGCTGTTGCTGCTGCCACCTCTCCTGCCCCTGCTGCTTCTTCTACGCACCACTCTCTACTCACAACTTGTGCTTCCGCTCCTGCTCCTTCACCTACTACGATGACTTTGATTACCACCACCACGACGACCACTACCACTAGCCCTAACACTGCCACTGCTATGCCACTTGCTGCTACTACTACTGCTACTGCTACTGCTACTGCCACTGCCACTGCTCCTGCTCCTGCTCCTGCTTTTGCTCCTGCTCCTGCTCCTGCTCCTGCTCCTGCTCCTGCTCCTGTTGCTGCTGCTACTACTACCACTACTACTACCACTACCACCACGAATACTACTACTCCTACTACTACTACTCCTCCTCCTCCTACTACTACTACTCCTACTACTACTACTACTACTACTACTACTACTACTACTACTACTACTACTACTACTACTACTACTACTACTGCTAGCTACTGCTACTGCTACTGCTACTGCTACTGCTACTGCTACTGCTACTGCTACTGCTACTGCTACTGCTTCTGCTACTACTGCTACTACTGCCCTTACAACTTGTACTTGTCACCACTGTGCTCATCCTCTTCATTACTGACATAAGTGTTGCTTGCCTACGAAGCAGCAGAAGCAACAACAAACAGCCAACAGCCAACATCCAACAGCAAGCAACAAATCACAAACAACAAACAGCAAACGGCAAGCAGCAAACAACAAACACAAGCAACAACAACAACAACAACAACAACAACAACAACAACAACAACAACAACAACAACAACAACAACAACAGCAACAGCAACAGCAACAGCAACAGCAACAGCAATAGCAACACCAACACCAACAACAACAACAACACCAACAACACCAACAACAACACCAACAACACCAACAACAACACCAACAACACCACCACCACCAACAACAACAACAACAACAACAACAACCGCAACCGCAACCGCAACGGCAACGGCAACGGCAACGGCAACGGCAACAACAACAACAACGGCAACAACAGCAACGGTAACAGCAATAATAATCAGACTAGCAGCTATAATGGCAAAGATAAGAATAGCAAGAAGATAGTAACAAGAACACTAACAAGAGCAACAACCAAAACAATAAACGTAGCAATAGCAACAACAACAACAACAACAACAACAACAACAACAACAACAACATGTTCATCATGCCGTCCCCCAGCAGCTGTCGAACAAAAACAAGCCTAAGGGTTTGGCCTTTGATACGGGACCCAAAAGCACATAAGCATAAGCATTTTATGGGGACAACCCTACCTTATGGGGCTTCATTATATCGGGGGTTTGTATGGGATATCCCTATCCTAATATTTGCTTCGTGGCTTTTCGGGGCCCTATTTGAGTTCCAGGACTGTGTTGCACCAGACTTATGCGACTGCAGGGTCGACGAACATACTTGGACTGTCGGGGGACTTAGTAAGTAGGTAGTAAGTAGACTTATAAGTACCCTAACAGGGACCCTAATTGGGGTTGTGGTACTTATAAGTCCCTAAAATAACCAGTTACTAAGTCCCCCGACCCTACAAGTACCGGCCCGGGTTAGGGATTAGGGGTTTAATGATTAGGGGTTCAGGGTTTAGGGGTTTAGGGTTTAGGGGTTTAGGGTTTAGGGGTTTAGGGTTTAGGGGTTTGGGGTTTAGGGGTTTAGGGGTTTAGGGTTTAGGGGTTTAGGGTTTGGGGTTTAGGGTTTAGGGGGTTAGGGTTCAGGGGTTTAGGGGTTAGGTGGTTGTCAAAATAGTGGTCCCTTTTGGGGTCCTACTTAAGTTAATATGGCTACCTACGACTAGTATGTCGGTATCCAAAAAGGGGACCCTGATTTTGACTATTACTATTACTACTACTACTACTACTACTACTACTACTACTACTACTACTACTACTACTATTACTACTACTACTACTACTACTACTACTACTACTACTACTACTACCACCAACCCAGATCAAGAGCCGTGCCACGACGGCTTCATGTTCCAAGGCAGACATCAGCAGGGCTCTGTTGTAAGATACTAGGATGCCCAGTAGTACCCTTTTTCCCTTCTTGTAGTCCTAGGTTCCTTATAAAGTTGCCCAATACCAAAAAGAGAGGCCTTTTTATTCTTAGGTTACTGGGTATCCTAGGATAAGTAATGGGGTTCCTAGGGTTCCTTTAAAGGAGACCTATATAAGGGTTCTGTAAGGGATCTATAGGGTTCAGGGTTCAGGGTTCCTTTAACGCGACCCATAAAGGTTCAGACTTTCGGGGTACCGGCTCGCCAAGAAGACGAGTCCAAGAGCGGAACAGTCGTGTTTGTCTTGAAGCGAACTGGTGGCAGACCGCCTTGGACCACTTCTCTTGCACGCGGAAGGTCCGAACCGTAAACTCTGTAAACCCTGTACCCCCAGACTCCCCTAAGCCCTCGAAGTTGTATTGACCACCTCACCCCTAAACCCAAAACCCAGAAACCCCTAAACCCCTTAAAACCCTTTAAAAGCCGCTAAAACCCTAAACAGCATTAAAACCCTGAAAAAACTCAATTGAGACGCCTGCTTGCAGGTGGTTTTGTGAGCGATTACCTCGAGCGGAAGGGTGACAGCCACTTCTGCCTGGTGCCAGCAGGCCACTGGGTTTTAGGGTTTGAGGGGTTCCTTTAAGGGATCTATAGGGTTCCTTCAAAGGGTACTATATGGGCATATGGGTTCCTTGAAAGGTACTAATCCCTTATATGGGTTCCTTTAAGGGATCTCTAGGGTTTAGGGTGTAGGGTTTTCTGGGGTTCCTTTGAAGGTATTATAGGGGTACCTTTGAGGGGTTCTTTAAAAAGGCTACGAGGGGTCTGTAGTAGGGTTTTAGGGGTTTAGGGTTTTAGAGGTTTAGGGTTTTAGGGTTTAGGGTTTTAGGGTTTGGGGGTTGATGGTTTTAGGGTTTAGGGTTCAGGGTTCAGGGTTTCAGGGTTTGAGGGCTTGAGGGTTTAGGGTTAGGTTTTAGAGTGAGTTTTTATGGTAAGCTAGGTGGCATTCTGTTTTTGAAAACTTTCATTTTTTGGTTCCTATACAAGTACCTATTCATAAATGCTTTCATGGCCACCCAAACTACAACCCAGTCAGTTCTTGTTCTAAAAGCTGTCATCAGGGATCTTGTTGGGTTCATACGGCTTCTGAAGGGTTTCCTGTAGTTTTTTTAGGTTTGGGCTTTATTAAAAAGGATTGGCTGGGGCAGTCGGGTTTGAGCTTGAGGGTTGTGATTTTTTGGTTGGGGCCGATGGGTGTCGACAGTATTTACGTGGGAGCACCCCCTCCGCTTAAAATCCTTCGTCGGCGAATGATACATAAGCGTTGGGGTCATATCGTAAGTAAGAAAGCGAGGTAGCCAGCCAAACGGAACAACCTCTGCGGTAAGGCTCCAGGTAAAGTAAACCTAACAGCTTACCCTCTCTAAAACTGATAGTGGAGGTACGAGCCCTTGGACCAACCACCTGTACGAGAGCTTCTATGCCGGCTGCGTCCCAGTCATTCTTAGTCTCCTTGGCTGCATGTTTGTGGTTTCAGGGGTTTCGGAAGTTTCAGGATTCTAAACTTTGGGAGTTTCCCAAAATAGGGGACCCTAATATGGTACCCCCAAATAGTAGGATCCTTATTGTTAGGGACCCTCAAATAAGGTACACGGTTTGGGGTGCAAGAGGGTACGGCATGAAACCCTGGACTGAGCCCAAGCTCCGAATCCGGTCACGATCCCTAAAGGCCCTAAAGTAAAAGCAGAAAGTTGGAATAGGATTAGGGTTTAGGGTTTAGGGTTTCCCTAAACCCTTTATGGCAAATTATAAGGTATCCTACCCTGAAACCATATTCCAACTTTCTGGAGTTCCCTTTAAACCCTAAACCCTAAACCCCTCAGCCAGACTTACTCCTAAGCTGGCAACAGGAACGTGTTTGTAATTTGCTGTTTTGGGGTTGAAGGTACAAACACATAACATTGTGTGCTTGGGCTCCACATCCAAACCGGTGAAACTCTGAACTCTACACGCCCAAGCCCTTAGCGCCGTAATAAAGAAGCCTGAAAAGCCTGAATAATTATCCATATGATTCCCTGGGTCTCGTTAAAATCCTCACACATACCTTAAATCATCAAAAACCCTATCCTAACTTTATTAATGCCCCTATAGCACCAAAGGTGATGAGTACAATGTGGCATTCGCTGAAGAGCTTCCCTGGGCTGCTGGGCTTCATGGGGATTTACAGTTTCGGGTTGATTCGGGGTTTGGAGCGTGTGTACCGTGTGCGCGCGGTGGGTGCTCTTGTTGAGGAATGGGGGCATACCCGCATATCGCGCGCTTGCATCAGCATGCAGGCCTGCCCCAAGCACGAAATAATGAGGGTTCAGGGTTCATGCACCTCCACAATCACAGCCCCCTGCAAAGGGTGATTTCTCGCTCTCTGCTTCCATTAGGCAAACCTTAACTGAACTGAGATGGATCGGTAGAAGCAAGGGTTTTCAGCAAACAAGCCGCCCCTCGTGCTCTATGAGGGTCGCTCTAAGTGTTATAACATTTACGTACCTGAGAGGTTTGTAGCCCGCATTTCAAAAAGCAAAAACGTGTCGAAAGCCAGCCCCCTTAACCACACAGAGTACCCGGTAGTAGGAGGTAAATAGCAGCAACAGTAGTAGTAGTAGTAGTAGTAGTAGTAGTAGCAGTTTTCGTGGTCGTAGTCGTAGTCGTCGTCGTAGAAGTAGTGGCAGCAGGAGTAGTGGCAGTAGTAGTAGTAGTAGTAGTAGTAGTAGTAGTAGTAGTAGCAGTAGCAGTAGCAGTAGCAACAGCAACAATGCTGGTGCTAGTGCTAGTGCTGGTCTTGCTCGTGCTGGTGCTGGTGGTGGTTGTGGCGGTGGTACTCCGGCTCCCCTACCTACCCTCCTACTGTTCCCACTGCTGCAGTTGCATCTGTAGGTTTTAGTAGCAATACCACCACCACCACCAACAACAGCAACAGCAACGGCAATTTATTAGACGCTGAGCGAGCGGGCTCTGCTCATTCCGGGCGTGTGAGACTGCCTTTGCACCTGAGCAAAGATCTGAGAGCATAAGTGAAAAGAACCTGGGCCTAGAGTCTAAAAGCAGGCAATAAGTAGGCAGCTACGCTTCAGGCTACGAGCTGTTTCAGGGGCCATCACAAGTCACTCAGTGGGGTGAGAAACCCTCCGTCACCCTCAGTGCGGACTATGGCGTCCCATGTCCACGAACCAATGATTGATGAGCCGTACCCTATGGGCCGTCACTCGGAGTGCCTGTTGCGTGGCGTCCCACTCATGGTCACTCTCAATCAGAGGCGATGGGCCGTAAGGTCGCAAAGGTGGCATGCTGTCCGTGGCCATCCAATGGAAACGGCAGGAGCTGCTTTAGCCTTGGCGCAAGCTCATGGTGTTTTGTATTCAACCCGATCAGTTCTTGGAATAGTTGACAGCAACGGCAAAAGCAACATCAACAACAACAGCAACAACAACAGCAGCAGCAACCTCAACAACAATATATAAGCAAAATCACTCATGCTGCGGGTTCTTTATTGCTCATTGGATATCTCAGATATGAGCTGTTGTGATCGAGGAAACTTTCTCCATCAAGTGGCCGGAGAGCAGAGTCTGCGATGATGAGGCCGGTTTTGGGGTTAAGCATTCGAGGCTTGGGGTTTTCAGCATTCGGGTTAATGGTAGTGCCCGCTAAGCCGTTGCCGCGAAAGTTCATTCAGAATCCTCCAAATGTAATGAAAGATCTGCAGAACATCGCTCACTATCTCCTAAGCAGTCAGAGTGCTTTATCCTCGATTATAAGGTACCGGAGACAGGTTCAGCGCTAATTGTTTAGAGTTCAGAAAACAAAGATTGGAGGTTTGGGGTCATCGTGTAGCATCATAGTGGCATTAGCACGACAATTCGATAGACAGCCAGCAGACATCGAATAGGTAGAGACCAGAATTGTGCGGCCTACCTTTTGGTGAGAGTGTTTAGCTTTTGCTTTGTGGGTCTGGTTTTGCTCGTGCAAAGATGTTGAAGATTGCTCACCATCATAGGGAGTATGGTGTTGAAACATTGCCGGCAAGCACCAGGAGCAAGAAGCCTGGGATCAGGGCTTTGGGTTTAAGGGTGCAAGGTCGATGCCAAAAACAAACAAACGCACAACAGCAGTGGGCGGATTACACTGCATCCTAGTAGTAGAGTAGGCAACCTTTAATTTTTTTTGAGTAGTATAGGCCTCATATAATCCCTAAATACCAAAAAGGTTAACCTTCAGTTCCCCATGATACCCGACAAGTAGGGCATGGTCCTGCAGCTGGCCATCACCGTGGCCCAGAACCCAAATGTTCAATTTGTGGGCTCTTAGAGGGGAGCTGCTCTCTGAAAGTTAGAGCATTTAGGCCCAAAGGTGTTTGAAAAGGGGCAAAGAACTGAGATGAAACTAACAAGAAGAATGTCACAGCCTGTCACCATAAGAACTATTGGGGTGGCATTTTGGTGGTGAGAAGACAAAGACGGTCATCATGTGCAACTGTTGTTGCAGTAGGAGCGGTGTGGTACACTTTTTGCAAGAAGAGGGCATAATGTTTAAACTACAGCAAGCTGTCGTGTTGTTTGAGTAACACTTCTTCTGTGTCGGGTTCGATAGATCCTCATGTCCTGAAGCTACATTAATTATGTCGCTATGTTGTGGTGAAGCTGAACCCTCAACCCTTACAGGCTTACAGGAGTTGGCCAGGAGGAAGTCTTTGTAGAACTAGCACCCGGTGTCAACTCCGAGCCTTAACTACCTTTTTTTCAAGAAACCTCGTGAACCCTAGCGAAACAGACCAAGCCTTAGCCTTAAAACTCCAGACCAAACGCGGCAGTAAAGACAAAGCTGAGCATTAAAACCAAAGCTAATCTAAACCCTACACCCCTTCACCCTGCACCATCCACAAATCTCGCAATCACTTAAGCCGAGACCTATAGGCCTATGAACCAAACCTTAGCAACGACAGGAGTGCAGCTCCTCCTCACTCTATGGCTTCCTGCGCCGCCTCGTGGAGACCGAGTGTTTCGGATGCAGTTTTATAACAAGGGGTTACAGGTGTGCATATAAGGCTTTGCAGGGTCTTGTTAAGAGGCTTTGCTCGAGGATTTATTCACGTAGTTCATAAGAGTCTTATAGGATTTAGCATTCGTCGAAAAGTCTTTGCAGGAGAGTCTGCGATTTCGGGATTGTTGGGGTTGTTATCTTCTGAGGCTTCTTTCTGGGTCCCGGAGTAGCATACTTGAATACTTTCTTGGTACCTGTTGCTTAAAGGAACCGTAATGAAATAGACTTCTTTTGCTTCTTCTCCTTGGTTCCTTCAAAGCCCAGATTTGGGTGCTGTAAGGGTCGCGCGCTGTTTGACAAGGGTCTTGGGAGTCATCAACTCGATGATTTTGGGTGTAGAGTTGAGGGCTTACCTGGACCCTGCATAGCCCACCCTTTCAGGACATTTATAAGGAAATCATAATGACGAGCCTCGAAGTCGTAGGTCTTTTCGGCATACCAGGTTCCAGAGTAGGACTTCTCTCGTAGAGACGACTTGTTAAGAGGGCTTGAAGTTGACGCTTTGGGGCTTGGGAAGTAAAGTTCATATATAGGGGCCTAAACGCCTACTAATACTACGTATTTTGGGCTTTCTATACTTTGACAATTGGCTAGTTAACATACCCCAAAGCCTTATTCCAATTTTTGAGGCTCCTGTATTCGGTTTCCGCTTCGGCATCGAAGACAACGGGTGTTCTTGTTTGTCCCAGCCACCTCTAATACGCGCCAGAAACCTGTAAACCCTCCAAGCCCTACTTGGAGGGTCGAGGGACTTAGTAAGTAGGTAGTAAGTAGACTTATAAGTACGTACCCTAAAAGGGACCCTAATTGGGGTGATGGTACTTATAAGTCCCAAAAATAACCAGTTACTAAGTCCCCCGACCCTCCAAGTAGACCCCGAAGCCCCAAATACTCTCAGAATCTTGCTGCTTGTGCTCTATAATAACCCGAAACCTAAGCCCCACACCTTAAAATTGAAACCCGAAGCCCAAACCCTAAACCTTGGAACCCTAAACCCCCCAACCCCCGTGAACCCCCCAAACCCCTAAACCTTTAAACCCTAAACTCCTCAACCCCTAAACCCCCCAAACCCCCTAAACCCCTAAACCCCTCAACCCTAAATCTTATAGATCCCTTATAGACCCCTCAAAGGAGCCCTAAGTAGATCCCCTAAAGGAAACCCTACTAACCCTAAACCCCAACAAAGGAAGCCCAACCACCGAACCCGAGGCCGGAGAGGTGTCTCTGCTGCAGCGGATGCCTTCGGCACCGGAAGGGTTTTGCTCAAAGGGTTCGGGTTTAAGGGATATACTGAAATGTACGATCATGTACTATCAGCATAGGGATTAGGGATGAAAGGTTTAGGGTTTTTGTGGGTTTTGGGGTCTAGGGTGTGGGGCTCGTCGGTTTTTGGAGCCTTCGGGTTTTGGGTTCAGAGTTTATTGTGGTGCTTTAAGATGGGTTTAGGGTCTTCGGTTTGACAAGAGCATCCGGGTGTTGAACCCTTTGGGCTTTTAGCAGGTCCCGGGCTTCGGGTTCATGCGGATCTGGATTTAGAGCTTTCCGGTTCTTGGATTCGGGTTTAGGGTGGAGGGTTGATAATCTTATTGGCCGTAAACTAAACTTTTCAACTTTTGGGGTTCTTATAAGGTAGTCGTTTCTGAAAGTTTCAACTTTTATTTCCTTGGCTTTTGGGCCAGTGGGTAATACTTGATGGTTTCAGGGATCTAGTCTTCCTCAAATTTACGTCCCGGTGCTTTGAAGTATTGATCCGTCAAGGCCTGTTGGATGCACGGGCCGCTGCCTTGAATGTAGGCATCTGGGTATCTTACATCATCACGTGTGGTCCTCATAGGTCGACGATGAGATACCTCAAAACCTTGTTCTAGTTATTGACCCGCTATGGCACGGGCCGTTGATCTACTTGCCTCATAGGTTTCGGCTGAGTGGTCGTTAGCTTAAACTTTGTCAAAACATAATATGGGAGTTTCCGAGAATAGGGGACCCTTATATAGCACCCCAAATAATAGGATCCTTATTTTGCGAACCCCACATAAGGTACCCCTAATTTGCGGAAACTCCCCCGTGACCCGAACCCCCATGCTAGTCACTGCGGCCTCAATATGAGACACTCAGCCCCGGACCTTTGCCTTGGTGCATGATCTTCAAGACTAAGAGACAACATGTTAGGATCACCAGAAACCCTGGTCCCATAACCCCAAAATGGTAGGATTCATAATTTAAGGAACCCTATTCAGGACCCAAGGTTTCTTAATCAGCATTTTATGATCACACAGTTATTGACAATCCCCAATACCAGGCAATATGATTCGGAACGTGTTCGAGACCACTGTGTAGCTAGTGTGACGTTTCACCTTGTCAGGCCTGAGTACTCTTACCACAGGGGAAGGATTCACCCCAAAGTTGCCCCTTGAAGTTTAGAGGCCAGGCAGTTCAGCAACTAGGAGTCGTATGTGACGACATCCCTGGACTTCGAGGGAGAGACATGCACATTTTGACATTCACAGACCTGACGGAGTACCAGAAGCACAATTTGCTCTGGAGAGAGTTTGACATCTTTGAATGCCATACGTCACATCACAAAGGCGTGCCAATTTTCCTGGGGTTGTTGCTCAAGACAATCGCCTCAAGGGCTGTAGTGTTGCGACACGCATTCCTCAGCGCATTCGTAGCGCTAAAACGCCGATTTAGAGCAAGAAACGTGAAATCCAGACAGTCAGTATAATTTTACGCTGCCCTGGCCTCAGGGACACCATGGACCTTTGCCGCCAACGTCTGGTTCACTCTCAAGCACCTGTTCCACACACACACACACCGATTTTGTACGTGCCCTTGCTGGAGGGGACAATCTGGCTGCTGCATGGGAAGATGACAAAGAGACTTCTTCCCCACGCGCAGCGGACTTTGACGTACATTACACAGTCGAAAACATCAGCCGGGGCCGATTTTAATTTTCTTTCCCAACATGTTGACTCCAGAGGAGCCTTTCCCGATGTCTAAGCTTACTCCCCAAGAGATGAAAACAGTAATCCCAAAAGCCTTCGAATTCTCAGCCCGAAACTCTGCAGGCTGCAGACCGAAATCCTCGTCTCGAAAGCTCTCAAGCGTTAAGCCACAGAGGATAAAATGTGTAGGAATGGAGACACCCCAAACCCTAAACCCCTAAGCCTAAACCCTAAGCCCCTAAGCCTAAACCCTAGACCCCTAAGCCTAAACCCTAAACCGCTAAGCCTAAACCCTAAACCCCTAAGCCTAAACCCTGAACCCTAAACCGCTAAGCCTAAACCCTAAACCCTAAGCCCTAAACCCCTAAGCCTAAATCCTGAACCCTGAGAGATGAGGCTTTGGAACATGAAGCGCGAGCTGGAGCTTCACAGCTGTTACTTCAATTGGTACAGCGCCCCAGCTGAACGCATCAACCCGTGCACAAGAATGCGAAAGCACAACCATTTGTGCATGTTTGTGTGTGTGTGCGCGCATGCACATTATACATATACACTACCATGGAAAACATGGTTGAACTGTTACTGGTAGCTAAAGACATGGAGTACATGCATTCTCGAACAGAGATGTAAGCAAACATGAATAATATACATACATATATATATATATGTATATACACACGATTTATACAGGCACACAACCCGTTGGCGACGCGTGTTGGCGTGCATGTTGATGCCGCTTCACTCAGAAATACTTGCAAATCCAGATAATGCGTTCGTGCTAAATGTGGGTGTGCGTGTTTGAACGCATATCTGCATATGTTCATTCCCAGCCGCTTGGGAACCCTATAACCCCTCGACTCCCTTCGCGGTGCAGCAGGATTTCGGGGTTGGAGTTCTGGTGTGTTCGGGTTTGGGAGTTCCGCAGATCTTGTTCGCTTTCGCCAGGTTTAGGATTTAGGGGTTGGGTTTATGAGGCGTCTCGGCCCGAGGCTTTTTCATGGGGGAATTTCGCTGAATGCGTGTTCCCTTGTGTAAAGTTGACCAGACCCCAGCGGTAGTAGGTAGTTGATCTTCTTCATCTGCCATCGCCGCGCCGCATTCCAGCTTGAAGCTGGGTGCACTGGCACTCCGGCTCGAAGCTGGGTGCCTGGCGTCCTGTCTGGATGCTACGCTGCCTCATCCTGATGCTGAGTCATTGTGGCGGCAATGTGACTACGATTGCTGCGATGTGGAGCTGTTGCGACGGTCTGTGGCAGTCTCTCAACAAGCTCGTGGTGCTCTCTGACCTGGTGACGGGATGTGTCGGTAATCCGCGGCGGGCAACTTTCGACGCTTGTGCTGTGGTTTACGGCTCATGGCTCACATTAGATCCTGGTGGTCAGCTCCTCTTGCTGTTGCCTGTTAGGCATCACCTTACTGCTGATGCCGCAGGCTCCGGGTCTGGCTTCGTAGTCTCCATGGCCACGGTGTGGGATAGCTCGCACATGCCACGGGTCTGCTGGGATTTTCTGTTCTCTTCGGGTGGAACATCTACCGTCAACAACTTCGTCGGCTGAGTCCTTTGACTGGGGTCAGGCACTCATCGGCCAGGCTGTAGTTTCGGATGCTGACCTTTCGTCCACGCATCCGTCCTTAATCCTGTTTACCGGCAGCGCGCTTGCTTGGCCAAGCACGTTTCTTGCGTGGTGCTTCCTTACCTGGGGCCCGCTGTTGCTGCAGCTTAGAGCTCTTTTCCAGACAGTGGTGTTGCCGGTCTTTGCCTCGTGCTGTCAGGGGCGACCGCTGTCTCGGGGTTAGCTGTTTGCTGGTCTGCCCGTCTGGGCTCCCTCCTTTCGATGGGGTCGAGCTCGGGGGGCCTTCTGTTTCACCTTGCATCGTCGGGCTGTTGTGCTATAGCAGCGCAACTTTTGAGCCCTTCTTCTTAGTCGCTCAGGACCTTCGGACCTCAATGCGAGTCAGTCAGTCAGTCAGGTTGGGTTTATGGCTTACGGATGAGGGTGTAGGGATTCGGGTTTGTGGTGTTTCTAAGGGTAAAAGGAGACCCTTAATAAGAACCCCTAGGTATATACCCTTAATATAGCTATGATATACCCATTATATAGCCCCATTATAGGGTAGGGGTCCGTATTAAGGGTCCCTCCCTTTCCCCTTTGAGTGTTGGGTTCCGGGCATCCTGCACCAACTTCGCAAGCCACACAGCCCCCCAAGTGGCTAGGGATGAAGGTTTCGGCTTTTGGGGTTTAGGGTTTACCTAGAGGCTCCATAGTAGTTCCTTTTTGTGGTTCACATATGGAATCCTTTAAGGTAATCCGAGAATAAGGGGTCCTCATTTTGGTCCGTATGATAAGGATCCTACAATCTGGACTACTATATTAATAGTATAGGGTCCCCCATTTTCCAAAAAAGGAACTGCTAAGGAGCCTATGGGTTTCGGCTAGGAGCTAGCGCGTGGGATGGCTCCGATTTCAGGTCTTCCCAGACCCGCGGGAGGATCAAGAGAGTAGATCCCCTACTTTGAGGCCCTACACTGCTAAGGGTACTTTATAGGAACCGCCAGCAAGGGATCTACTTTTTGAATCCGAGGGGTCATCAGGATTCAGATTCGGGCTTCAGAGTATCCTGGACCCCCGAACGACCCGACATTATACCCCCCCAAATGCCTTCTGCTGGGGACCATGAAAGCTTCATGGAACGATACTTGGGGAGTCCGGGATTGAAATCAGGATCGGTCCAGGTGCCTCTTGAAGCTTGAACCCTGAACGCTAGACCCTAAACACCAAAGGGAGTTCAAAAACAATACCCTAAGGGTCCACGTACCAATATAGAGATACATGAGCCCCAAAGTACCTGTACAGGGACTACATTAAGGCCAGGGTATATGCTATATGAGTACATGGACCCTTAAGGGAAGACCCTAAACACCAAAAGGAGCCCTAAACCCTAAACCCTAAACGCACCATGCCTTTTGATGCAGCACTTTGGGCACCGACGCCGCAAGAGTCCCGCACCCAGGCACGGATGAAAACTGCAGCTACTTGGCGGTTTAGGGTTTAGGGTTTAGGGCGTCATTCTTCAGGTTTCAGGGTTGACAGCTTTCAGGACGGTGTCTTCCCTTAAGGGTCCATGTACTCATATAGCATATACCCTGGCCTTAATGTAGTCCCTATACAGGTACTTTGGGGCTCATGTATCTCTGTATTGGTACATGGACCCTTAGGGTTCGGGTTTACAGGCTACTTAGTGTTTCGACTGTAGCCTGTGCCTGTCACCAATTTTCAGGGGACCTAGTCCCCATAGCCTGCCGAGGATTGGAGGAAGCAGCATACCCTACGGGTCCATGAGCCCACCTAGGGCATAGGGCAATGCATACCTGTATGTAGCACCGATGACAAGGGACGGTTTTTTGAAACGCCCCCCCTCCAAAAACACACACACACACACATACACACAACTTTAACCACGAAGCCGCAAACCCCTAACCGGGAAGCTTTAACCCCAAACCCAAAACCGCTAAACCCCTGGCAAGGTCCATACGTTTTGATACAGCAGCACCTCAAGCGCCTCCTGGACATGCGGTCCAGAAAGTGCCTTGCTTTGCCAACACGTCCCGCGCCCGCTATGTCACTTGAATCCACCCCAGGCCCCATACCTTTTTGGGATTACCTGATAGGAGTCTATACATGAACCCCAAACTCAAACAAAACAGGAACTACCATGGAGCTTCTGGGTATGTATTTATTCAAATATCAAAAATCAGGATAATAGTAACAATAGTAATGATAGGATTAATAGTAATAACAACAATAAGAAGACTAAAAAATAATCGTAGTAAGAATGGTATTCCATAACAGTAAGATGCTGTAGTGCGGATCCCTGGCTTAAAGCGGGCTCTCATTCGCTTCCGACATCAAATGCTCTGTTTCAACTTTCGCAGTTTCTAGACTTCGGGACGTTTGTGAAGTTTTTCCGAGTTCGGGGTTGGGATTAATTGGGGAGCGATACCAGGCTGTTTAAAACAAAAAAATAAAATATATATATATATATAACACAATTTAAAGTCGTTTAGCTACAGCAGGGATCTTGAATCATTTAGGGGCCTGAGTAACTCTACCAATAGTATGGCTCGGGGCTCCTTATTGTTCTTAAAGTCTCTTATACACGAAATCCCCATTTTAACATATGGGGTGTCCGACAAGAGGGGACCCTAATACAGTACCCTAAATACTAGGATCCGTATTACAAGGACCCCAAAACAATGTATCCCTATTTTCGGAAAACTCCCATATTCTAACTTTCAAGGCCCCAAGCACTCTTGGAATCTCCTGTCCAGCTGAGGCCCCGATTTTGGAATGCAGGTGCTGCTTTCAAAGATGACCCGGAGGAGGACACCGGGGAAGTCTACTTTTTGCTACCTTTACTGTCGCGTTCTTGGTAGGGAATGGGGGAATGGATCCCTATAGTAGTCCCTATATAATGCCCCAATTTATAGTCCCCATAACCCATTCCCCCATTCTCTACTAAAAACCAGACCGTTTACTCTGATTCAACGTGCAGGGGTGTAGAATTTTAGAATTCAATTTTCAGAAGATAGGGTGCAGTCTGATTTTGCAACTTGCTTTCCGGGCCGAGTATGCGGTAGAGGTGCTGGGTGGTTGAGCTAGCTTGGATGGGTCTTACAAATAGCATCGTAAGCCCGAAAAGCAACTGAAGCACAAACCATCATAGTTGGCAGTACCCCTAAGGGTCCATGTACTCATATAGTATATACATTGGCCTTAATGTAGTCCCTATATAGGTACTTTAGGGCCCATGTATCTCTATATGGGTACATGGACCCTTAGGGTACTATCCCGTTACAGAGCCTGCATAGGCCAGAGTTACAATTCATCCGCACCCCAAACCCCATTGAAAATATCAAGGATCCTACAAAACACCTCGCAGAACCCTGGAATAAACGGCCATGGAAGCCCATGAAATTAAGAAATACGATTCTGCTTCTTCAGGTTTCACTCTTTCTAGAGAAAAACCCTATATAAACCCTAAACCCTCCACCGTAAGCCCGCCATCCGAAGCAACGCCCCCAGGCGCCTCAATGAGAAACCCGGCCGGACTTTAGGGCTTACTTGGAGGGTCTTTAGGGGACTTAGTAAGTAGGTAGTAAGTAGACTTATAAGTACCCTAAAGGGGACCCTAATTTGGGTTAAGGTACTTATAAGTCCCCAAAATAACCAGTTACTAAATCCCCCGACCCTCCAAGTGTGCAAGCGCTTACATCTACAATGGAGCATTGCATTATGCCACAAGTATGACTCCATTTTCTTTAGCGACATACTTTCGCACATGGATGAGCTGTAAAAAGTCCTCTACCTATACATATTTAGATATATGTACTACGCATACTGACAGATAGGTTTGCTTACGCACATGCTGACTACTTTGGTTCATTGATGTATATATCTATTGGCATGTTTGTTACACGCCAATGGATGGTGGGCTTCCGGGTTACGCCGCAGTCTCCAGGAGCCGTTCGCCCATCTCCGCCGCCCCACACGCTTCAAGCAGTTCGGGGACGACAGCTCCCTGTCTGTCAGGGTTTTGTGAGTCTATTGCGTCATTCTGGATTCCTTATCATTACGTCAGGGCTGCAATTGGCAAGCATACTGACGGCATCGAAAATGGTCCTCATGGTCATCTTGCCCTCCTCTCTTATCACCCTCCTCATCATGATCACCGCCACCATCTCCTTCTTCATTGCTGTCATCATCACATCAGCATCATGATCGAGAAAACGAGACACAGCACCAGGACACCCAGTGGATTATGATGGTGGTGCCAGTGTTGGCGACAGAGTTATCTCACTGTACGGAATCGAAAGACTACGAGATATTGACTCAATTCGGCCTTCCATTGGCATTCATTGCTATCATTCTTTCGTGCCAGAGGACTATCAGAGTTTCGTGCATCTAGGCTTAGGTGTCTAGTACGCCTTTTGACAAGGATCCGACCATGCAGGGCCATGTAGGGTGCATATTAGGGCGACTTCCTGTGTCAAACTCAGCAATCGCCCAACACTCACTTGTGAGATGGTGGATCTCCAGGCTGAAGCTGCTTTGTATGTCGTGGGTCTTGAAGGTAGGGTTAGGGGTTTAGGGTTTGGGGGTTTAGGGGCTTAGGAGTTTAGGGTTTTATAGGTTTAGGAGTTTAGGGTTCAGGGTTTCGGGTTTAGGTCTGGAGGGACTGTTGGAGGTGATAAATGCCAGGTAACTGCTCATAGCAATTGGCAATGCTGCTTAAACCTTGAACGAAGCTGTCTCGCCTGAGTTCTATGAGGCTTACCGAAGCTTCCGCAATTCCCCAAAGCCTATGTTCACAACCTATGAAGAAATGAAATGATCCGACGCATACACCCATCGACTACCATTCATCCAAGACCCTAAACACTAAACGGTCATGCTTAGCTTGCAAGCCTCAAGATTCATTACAAGGTTTTTGGAGTTGAAGTTGAATAGTTGTTATTTGGGTTTAGGTTTGGGCTGCTCTTTACATGCAGTGTAGAAAGCTACCTCTGTGGAACTAACTCGGTTTTGTCCTACGCCCCAACCGCTAAACAATGCTGATGCTCAGGCAGCAGCTTCACTTGGCTCCGACCGCCTGACGGTAGCCAAAAGTGCGTGTCCTGCTCCGGCTGGTGGTGGCTTTGCGATTCTTCGTAACCCATCATTGCTAGGATGAAGGGTTGGCGGCTGGCGCTGGCTGATTGCATATAGGATCTGGGACTCTTGCGCTTTTCACGTTTACGGCACGGGCTTGAGCCAAGCTGGTATAGAAACCCGACCATTATTGATGGAGCTGTGCCTGCGGTAAGATTCTTTCGGTGGTACAAGTAGATTGAGAGACTGTGGTTCATGCGCTGTCGGAAAGGAGGTTAGTTCCTTGTTACATGAATCCCTGAATGGGCAGCGGTAGGGATAATTGCAGGCTTAATGCCCGAGCTTCAGGCACAGTTTTATCCACCTGCGCACTCTTTGAACAAGCATACACCTGCCGTGAAGCTACAATACCCTGTTCAGTCCGTTCTTTACACCCAGCTTCCCTCACCCTTTTTTAGCGTTCAGGGTTTAGGGTTTAGGGGCTCCTTTTAGAGGGCTTGTTTTGCAGTTAACCCTAAACCCATTAAGGTTTGGGACTCTTCGGCTGACTTTGTGGGTTCTGAAGCCCCAAAAGCAAAAAGCGCTTAAAAGCGGACGGTAGCCCCTTTAAGATCCGGAACACCCGATAGAACAGAACGCCTTATCAGGCCGAAATCAAGAAGTCCTATCCACACCCCACAAAGCCCTACACCCTACACCACTCTTCAACCCTAAACCCGAATGACCGAACAGACGCTTCATCCCATGCGGCCCTTCAGAGACCGATCAAATAAGCCATATGGATCCCAAAGCATCACTAGCAATACCGAAAAGCCCGACAACGATCCTAAAGCACGCGCCCTGTTTCACATATACGAAAATGCCCGAGCCAACAACGAAGCAAAAGGCATAAACATCATCCTAAGCCCGAAACACGACACCCTAAACTGCATAAACTTGAATAAAGACGGCCTTCCCCTTGAGGCTCCATGTATAGCTGTATAGTATGTACTTACATAGGTCTTAAAGTGCCTATATCGTGACCTCTAGCCCTAGGTATGTACATAGAGCCTTAAACCCTAAACCGTTAAAGCGGCACCCTAAAACTGAAAGCCCTAAACCCCTGAACCTTGAAGGAACCCTTCAAGGAACCTTAAAGGAACCCCCAAAGTGGTACATGGAGCAACCCCGAACCCTAAACCCCCAAAAAGGAATCCTTATCCCTCCCTGGGCATCAAAGTAGCCCAAAAGCCTGATATAGTAGGGTCTTTGGGCCCAAAAGCTTAAATACATGGGTCCTTAGATGCCTAAAGCTTTAAAAGGGGCACCTGGAGCCTGAGGGTCCCTGGTAGGCCCTGGTTTAGGGCCCTATACTACTAAGGGTATTTGAAAGGAACCCCCATTAAGGGACCTACTTTTTGGATCCTTTTGGGGGTCTGGGATACGGCGCCTTTAGTCCAAGGGAAAAAGGAGGGACCCTTAATAAGGACCCCTAGGTATATACCCTTAATATAGCTATTATATACCCATTATATAGCCCATTATAGGGTAGGGGTCCCCATTAAGGGTCCTTCCTTTTCCCCTTTGATTTAGGGTCCCTGGTAGGCCAAGATCCTCCGGGGATCCCTGGACTTCTCCACGCTTACGGCTCAGAGCATCATGGCCTCTTGGCGGTATACTTGGAGAGTTGAAAATGGGGTTATAAGGGTTCCTTTAAGGGTCGCTTTAAAGGGCTCTGTAGAGATTCAGGGTATAGGTATTTAGTATAGGGTTTCGGGTCTTTCGCGGTTTAGGGCTCCTTTAAAGGGTACTAGAGTACTAGAAGGGTTCCTTGAAGGGATCTATAGGGTATAGGGGTTTTGGGGCTTTCGGGGTTAGGAGTTTTGCGGTTTAGGGCTCGGGGATCTGTAGGGGAACTTTAGGGGTTTTGGGTTTAGGGCGTTCGGGGTTTAGGGCTTTAGGGCTCCGTCTCGCTGGGCTGTGAGGGTTTAATTTGGGGGGGTTGAGGGTTTCGGGTTGACGGATTACTTGGAGGGTCGGGGGACTTAGTAACTGGTTATTTTGGGGGCTTATAAGTCCCATAACCCCAATTAGGGTCCCTTTCAGGGCACTTATAAGTCTACTTACTACCTACTTACTAAGTCCCCCGACCCTCCAAGTAGGGTGTGCATACCGTGTGCGCGCAGTGGGTGCGCCTTTTGCTTCAATTAGGGACCCCAAAAGGCACATAAGCATAAGCATTTTAGAGGGATATCCGTACCTTATTGGCCTTCATTATAAGGGGCTTTATATGGGATATCACTACCCTAATTTTTGCTTATGTGCTTTTTTGGGGCCCTATCAATAGGGGCCCACCCACTTCTGGCGTGCTTGCGTCGGCATGTAGTCCCGCCCCAACCACACCTACTACTCTTAATGAGGACGCAAATCCCGAATCCTTAAATCCCCGAAAAGTATGTTGTGGAACCCTGAAAGGACCCCTTTTCCAGACATTCAGAATGACAGTGAGTGGGCACGTAGAACCCTCAGAGGAAGCCTAAAGAAAGGCTTTCCCCTTAAACCCTAAACACCCTCAACCCTAAACCCCTTCAAGTCCTGGCCTAAACCCCTTAAACCCCTTGAAGCCCTTAAACCCCCTAACCTTAGACCCCAAAAGGCCCCAAACCCCAAAGCTTCAAAGCCACAGTATAGCTCCCTTAAAGCTCTTTAAAGAACCCTTAAAAGAACCCTTAGAATATCCTTTAAAGGAACTCCCAAACCCCAA